TGTGTGTGTGTGTGTGTGTGTGTGTGTGTGTGTGTGTGTGTGTGTTACCGCTTCAGACCACATTTTAACCTCACCACTGAATCCATATCATCCTATCTGAGCCTCCCAGAAGTCGTACAGACAGACCCGAATGGCTAAACTGCACCTTTAGTGAAAACTGATTTCAATTTGTGCGCTCATATCAAAGGCTCGTCTGATGTTGCCAAGCAGTGCTTTGTATTTACCATCAAAGAAATAACAGGTATCAACAGGAATTAGAATGAAAGGGTGTAGACTGAGGCGGGTACGAGGAGTTCAAAGAAGTTTTTCTTCTTCTTGTTGTTCTTCGAATTTGACCAACACCAGAACACTAGAGATTAACCGGTAGTTTTGGAACCTTGATGTCCTCTGAGCAAACAGCCAGAGCCACTTTGTCCCATGCTGGTATTTTGTAAACTACAACTAGAGGATCATGGGACGGATCCAGACACCCTCAGCGATAAAACATGCAAGGAAGCTGATGCACAATGATAGGCTGAGGCTGATGGGCATCGTCTGTGGTCACTGAAATAAGAGACGATGATCCGTTCAAAAGAGCTGCAACAATGGGTCTCTGTTGAAGACTCATGTCTCAGTCAGGCTCGGTTTTCTCCTCAGACTGAGCAGCCGACTTTCAAATTGTGGTGCTTCAATATAGTTGTATGCAAAGTTCACAGTCACTCCCTTTGAACATGGTCAGGTAAAATGACTTGTAACTGTTGTCATTTACTGAGGAGGAGCCACATGTCTGTGATTAAGCTTCCAAAACTGAGGAATCGCATCAGGTTTCTTCTGAGATCACATCTTGATTATTTAGTCATTCAATTATCACAAATTTCACATTTATACTTTACTAATGCAGACTCGGAGCATTGGGGTAAAATTTTAAGTTATAATAATGGGAAATCTCATCATTTTGGGCTCATTTTTCACTTATAGTCAAATCACTACCACTCATGTCAGAACAGTAAACTAGCAGGAGCTGCAGAGTCGCAGCTTGTCATTTTTCAGTCTTTGGTTTTTGAACAGAGCAGGATTCACAACTGCAATTTGTGAGTTAAGAGATGCGGCAAGGTAGTGTCATAGTATGTTCATATTTAGCTTACAGACACAACAATGGTTTCAATCACCTCATGTGACAACATTTTTTTTGTCTATTTTCATGTAATTTAATTAATTAATACATTAAATTTCCAAAACTAGTAAAGTGAAACATGAAACTAAAAGTTTAAACATTTTTTAAACTTTATTTCACGATCTGATCATAATTTTTTTATTATAGTTACAATCCAACACTGTTCTTGAAGTGCTCTAAGCGCATTAAATCAAATAATGAATCCTTTACTTTTCCTCCTCTCACAGATATTACTATCTTGCATTTCGGGCTCACCAGATGCCCGAGACCAGCATAGAGAACGCTGTTTCCATCCTGCAGCGAGCCAAATTAGAGGACTGGGTACTGGGGAAAACAAAGGTAACACCTGAGAAGTGAAATGGTGAAGAAATCACATTTACCTGTGCATAATTTTATATAAGAAAAAGAAAACATACAATAATACAAACAGAAAGGCTGTTGAACTGTCTAATCCAGTTAATGCAGTTCAAATAATTAAATACTAGGAAGTTCTTACCTGGTCTGAATGTCCTGTCAGGTGTTTCTGAGGTACTACCATGTGGAGCAGCTCAACCTGCTGCTGCGGGAGGTGATCGCTCGGGTTGTGGTGTTGCAAGCGTACACTAAAGGCTGGCTGGGCGCCCGACGTTACCGAAAACAGAAGAAGAAGAGAAACCACGGTGCCATCATCATCCAGTCAGGTACACTGGAGAGAGAATTATTCTGATGTGTATAAAAAAAATATACAACATGGAGGAATACATTCTTTTTTATCTTGTAACAATTAAACAGGTGCCAATTCAAAGTGATTCTGACTATATTGGTTTCTTAACGACCTGGAGTCTATTATGCACCAGTGAGTCTTCATAAAAGAGATGAGTTTGATAACCACAGCTTGACCTGCGAGGGTTAAGAGCAATGCTTCAGAGCAGACAATAAGACCTCAGAGAGTTCAAAGGGATCCATCCCTCTGCCACCTGGTTTAGCAGTGTTTTGAAGTGGGATCTTGTGTAGTATATGCCGTCTATTTTGTTTCACAGAGGTAGGTCAGCAATCTCTCTCTTTCTCACACACACACACACACACACACACACACACACACACACACACACACACACACACACACACACACACACACACACACACACA